CCTGAATCAATCACTCAGGAATGAGATCCCCCTCCCCAGCTAAGTCTATTCTTAAGCTTTTGCTGGACACTTGTCTATTGAAACAATGGTATGAGGAGGAGCAACAGCAGCATCAGTAAGAACATCACCCCCAGTGCCAAATTTTAAGCATAGTAGTAGTACTAGTAGTAGTAGTAGTAGGAATAAAATATGAAAAAGTTTTTTGACTTTTTAGTATGACTTAAAAAAACCATTCAACTTGCTGAACTATTGAGCCCATTTTCATTTCATTCTTTATGGTGCTTTCATGATACTGTACTAAACTACTAACACTAGAAGTACCGCCTACTAGTACTACTACTAAGTACTCGTATTATGGGGACGGAGGAAGTATTACTGAAAATAGTTCCACTAAAATCTGAGCCACCCAAAATCTTGATGCCATCATGAAAAATATTCCGGGGGAAGAAACGAAAACAAAACCCCGCTGATGGGACAAGACCGCATCACAACGAGGTAATTGCGTTCAACAGGATTTGCTTGAAGAAAGGAATTACAACAATATTGGAACAGTGAGAGTGGATTATCAGCACTAACGCAAGAACTATAGATTGGAAACCATACAAACACTATCCTATAGACAACGAGCTACAAATATTCATCCCGCAGTGTTTTTCGACAGACCTCGCCGACGAATGAGAGAATTCCAAATACACGTTAAAGCGATGGCGTTACTAGCCTTAGTGGAATTCATTTCAAAGGCTAGAGGATTCACAAGTTCTATTTCACCGCATTTAAAGGCTTCGTTCAGCACCCTTCGTCGTCATCAAACTAGCAGACGCAAAGGATGCTTTCAAGAAGGATCGAAAATATTTCCTGGTGTTTYCGATCACCATAGCTACAACATTGGCCGACTGACTTTCCGCTCCTTATCAGCAAAGCCGCCAAACAAAGGTAGCAATGATGAAATCGATCAATCTAAAAAGGCCGATTTGTTRGCTGCGGCATTTGATGATCTTGCCAAGAAAGATGGTTTTGATTCTAGTCTGTCACAGATGGCAAAGGATGCAACGTTTGAAGACGATTTTTTGGAAGTTGACTTCGACGACGAAGACGGAGATGATGATTTTGGTGATGATATTGATTTTTCTGATTTTATGGAAGGAGACTTTGATTTTGACGACGAAGATGGCGATGACGATTTTCTCGACTTTGGTGGAGGTGACGATGATGATATGGAGGCTCGAATAGCTCAAGCAAAGCTGGATATGGTCAGAGGTGAAGTTAGCGTTCCAAAAGATCTGGATTCGTTTGCTAAGGGAGCTTCGGAGACTGATTTGCAAAAGTTGGGATTCAAAAAGGAATCTGAATTTTATGGTAACGATGAAGGTGGTCGTCAAAAGAAGGTCACTCTGATTACCGATGCAATGACATGTCCTGCATGTGGTGTTGACTTTCAATCACGGGATGAGCATAAGCCTGGATATCTACCGCCCGCGAAGTTCGACATACAAGCCAAGCTTTCAAAGGTCGAGGAGCTGCAGAAATTGAAAGAAAAGGCCGACTCTGCTACKGAATGGTCTCCCGAAGATGAAATCGACTTTCTACTACAAACTAGTGGCAAAGGAGACTTRGACTCCAACGACGAGCCTACAGATGCTGACAACATCGATATCGAATCATTAGTAGAAGAATTGGGGCTAGATTTAGAAGAGCTATCCAAAAAGAAGACAATTTGCAAGCGTTGTCATGGTCTACAAAATTCTGGCAAGGTTGATGAATCATTGCGACCGGGATGGACAGACGAACCAACTCTGTCTCAAAAGCAATTTAAGGACTTGCTTCGGCCGATATCAGAAAAACCAGCCGTAGTTATTGCTCTCATCGACTTGTTTGATTTTGGAGGTTCTGTTCTTCGGGAACTCGACGGAATTGCTGGTGAAAATCCTGTGATATTGGCAGCAAATAAAGCTGATTTACTACCCAAGACACTGGGAAAGAATCGCATCGAGAATTGGGTACGACGCGAACTTGAATACTTGGGCGTTCAATCCATTGCAAATGTTGGAGGTGCCGTTCGTCTAATAAGCTGCAAAACCGGTGACGGCGTCGCTAGCATGATGGAAAAGGCCCAGGATTTGGCAAACGAAMTGGAGGGTGACATTTACGTTGTAGGGGCCGCGAATGCTGGGAAAAGTACATTGATCAACAATATATTGAGTCGCAAYAGCAAAGAAGGAAAACCACGAAACAAAAACAATAGCAAGAAACGAGCTGGTAACCGAAACCAGGTAAAAGGAGCACTGACAACATCACCATTGCCAGGCACCACATTGAAATTTATCAAGATTGACCTTGGTGATGGACAGCACCTTTACGACACACCGGGGCTCCTTGTGCCAGGTACAATYACTCAGTTGCTCACTCCAGATGAGCTTAAAATYGTTTGCCCCAAAAAGTAAGTAGATTGGACAGTAAACCGCGGAAAACGAYCCTGCAGATATTGAATAAAAAASATCACACCTCAATTTTCATTTCTTTTGTTTGCTTTCTCAGACAAGTTGAGCCAATCACATTTCGGGTTGCGAGTGGAAAATGCGTCTTGGTTGGGGGACTTGCAAAAATTGAGGTTATTGGTGACACCAGGCCATTCCTCTTGACATTTTTCGTTGCAAATGAAATAAAGCTCCATTGTACCGACTCAACCAGAGCAGATGAGTTCACAGCAAAACACGCTGGCACAAAATTGTTGACGCCACCTTTGGCGCCCGGTCCAGAGCGCATGAAAGCAATCGGTGAATTCGAATCCCATGTGATTGAYATCGAGGGTAATGGATGGAAAGAGGCAGCCGCTGACATTACTTTGGCCGGTCTTGGATGGATTGCTGTCACCGGCGCTGGGGATGCCAAGCTGAGAATAAGTGTGCCWAAAGGCATTGGAGTCTCKGTCCGTCCACCCTTGATGCCCTTCGACATTTGGGAGGTTGCTTCGAAGTACACAGGTGCGAAGGCTGTTCGCTCTGTCAAAAAGTCGAARACTGGCAAACGGAGGAAAGGGGTTGGACGAAACTAAAGGAAATGATATAWTAACCCTGACCAACCAAATACAATTCAGATATWTATCTAGAGCAAMAGTCATYGTTCCATAGTGCACGTAGTAACCCATACTTTATTAGACTGCATGTTGACGTCTCTAACATACGCAGTCAAGTGTTCTTGAATTTTTGTGCATCCCGATGTGAGCAGTCAAAGTCAATTTGTTTTTCTGGTAACTCGACAGATATTATTTATCTCAGGATATATCTAGAGTAGTAGCTCAGAAAAAAAAACGCCAGCATTTCGACAAAACTGATTCAAATATTTGATWCAAAGATAGCTTCCAGTAATCAAACATTACTTCATTTAGAAATCATCTCCACTGAGTGCGTCTTCGGCACCRGCCTTACGGGTCTCGGTCTGGATGTAAAGGTTGACAAGGAACAAACATGGGAGGAAGGTTCCGAGAAGAACAGCCAAGTAAGCACCGAATTGAACTTCCAAGGAAAGAGCGGTGGAAGGGAGGGCATCGACAACGGAGTCCATGGCGAAAGCAGGGGCGGCAAGAGCGGCGACAGGGATGGCGGCGGCTCCCTTRACGGCGGCGGCACGGGCAACTGTGATGAAGGAGACAGAAGCAATAATGGGATTAGATGATGATTTAACGGTTGGACGAAACGGTGATGTTATAGGCGAGAAGCCATTAGCGGGCCATCCAACAGATACTTCATCCTAGCGTGGTCGTGCACAATGATTTCCATCATACCGAACCAATGATTACTCATTCACTCTGRAGGTGACGCAACCWACGATGTACGTACCTTGGTTGACCGAGTTAGGGGAGAAAGCCATGGAGGCAGCTACAAGAGCGAAAAGGGTAACAATTTGGAAGGTCTTCATTGTATTATTTACTGTTGCACTGTACTTAGATATGGAAAATGTGTATGATCGG